GAACTGGGAGCAGTTATACGAGGAAGGGGCAAGGTGAGGTGTTGAGGAGGGTGGGTAGGTAGGTGCATGCGGGTAGCACCTTGTACTTGTCTTTGGGCGTGCCAGAATGCAGGAACTCGCGACTCTTGTCCTGAGACATCACTATGCACGGATTGTCCACGTCCAACTGAAAGCAATGCGCATGCACATGCACACATGCACATGCACGCACACACAAGCCCCCAACACCCCCTCCTCCCCTTTCCTTCCTCCATCGCTGCCCCCAATTTCCACCACACACACACACACACACACACACACACACACACACACACACACACGCACATACACACACACACACACGCACACACACACACGCACACACACACACGCGCGCGCGCGTGCGCACACACACACACGCACACACACACACGCACACACACACACACACGCACACACACACACACGCACACACACACACACACACACACGCACACACACACACACACACACTACCCCGACGAAAACGAAAACCCCATCCGACCTTTCCATCATCCCACATCAAGGAATGTACGCACACAAGCAAGAAACAAAAAGAGAAAAAAACCAAGGTCAACTCTCGTAGGAGCACGAATGCGGTTTGGTCCATGGGACAATGACTGACGGCGCAGCACAAAGCTGTATGTGAGTGCCACAGCCCTGATTGCCCCATCCCCATGACTTGCATGTGTGTGGGAGTGGCCGAGATGTATCCCAAGTGCAGTGCAGTGCAGTGCAGTGCAATCCATAACAGTGCTGTGTGCCTGGCACGCATATCTCCCCTCATTCCCAGATGACTTGTGTTGTGTGATACCCAAGCAGAGAGGTGTTATGGGGGTTACTACTCACGTTGAAGTGTGCTGTGAGCTCGTCCAGGTGACTTTTGAGTCGACTCAAAAGTCTTTTGAGTCGACTCAAAAGTCACCTGGTTACTACTCACGTTGAAGTGTGCTGTGAGCTCGTCCAGGTCCTCCCTCTTGCTGCGCACCTTCCTGCCTGCTCAGCAAGCAGTGCCATAAGAGGGTGCGTGACGCACGTGGCATGATGCATGAGGCATGGGGCATTACAAATGACACATGGCACATGAAACATGGCATATTATCCCTTGTCACCGTCATGCATCTCTCCACCCTCACGCAGCTATCGCTAACACGCCCTCAGAGGCAGCACACCACTCCGCCCCTACGCTCTCCACGCCTTCCCCCCTTTTTCCCCTCATATCACCCCATTCGCCTTGCCAGCGGCACGCACCGCGGAAGTCCTTGAGGGCGAGAGTGGAGGAGCCATTGTCGGTAATGCGGCGCTCCACCGTGAGGCGCGGGCCAAACTCGTCCGGGCGAAACGCCTCCTCGCCCTCGTTGTTCAGCTCCACGCTCACCACCGCCAAGCTGCACGAGAGAGGCGGGTGTGGGGGGGAGGGGGGGGAAATGACGGATGCGCGGAGGAGGGCATGGCGGAGGGGTTCGCGAAGGGGGAGGGAAAAGGAGGGGAGGGGGAAAGAGTGAGGCAGGAAGGGTGAGTGGGAGAACATTACTGGATGAGGGCGGGAGGCGGCAGCAGCAAGGATGGGTTGGGAGAAGGGGAAAGGTATGCGACGAGACAGACTACTTCGATCTGGACTTTGTCAGGCGCTTAGAAGATACACAGACGGTAGGGCCACATGAGTGATGCAATAGGACGTCGAGAGACCTCCACTCCACTCATGGGGTACAGGAGAAGCAATCTACAACGGAGATCAACGAGAGGAGCATCTTCCTAAGGCACGTCGGAAGAACAGTCTGGTCGTGGTGGTGGTGGGGTAGTGGTGTGTGGTGATGGGGTAGTGGCGTGTGGTGGGGTGGTGATGGGTGGTGGTGGGAGTGAGCACCGTACCTGCATCCGGTGCGAATAAAGTCCTTGATGGCGGACGCGCGGTTCGTCGTACACGCTCGCGTGCCGAACGCCACGCAAAGACCCGTCAGCACCGCGCTCTTGCCGCCTGATTGCGCGGAGAGAGACAAGGACACGAGATAAAGATACAGGGGGTGAAAATGCACTCAGGACACGCAGGATAGAGAACGGCCTCTTGCGCTTTTGAGTATTGTTTAATATATAGCTTTGCTATATAGCACGAACTCCAGGGACAAGTAACCTCGCTTTGTGAAAATCAATGGTTTCACAAACTTGGCCAGCCTTTTAAATGCGCGGCTCCGGATTTCTCACGCACTTCCGTTAGAACCAGTAATGAAGTTGACGTGGCGGATGAAGTCCACGTGGAGAGCTTCGTGGCACATAAAATTGCGCAAGTCCATGCAGCGGATCCAACCGGCGCCTCCCTCACTCCCGCTACCACTCGCTGTGCCATTCGCAATGCCATTCGCGCTGCTACCCGCCGCTGGCTGGCTCATCGTGCTCTAAGCTTGGAAATCATTCGTTGACATGGAAAGTGAAGCTGTGGTTAGTATGCAGGGTTCGTTGTATGAGCACCTGCGATGGACCCACACCCACCCGACGCGGCAGGTTTCGTTTCGATTTGATTAGTGCATGGATTTGAAATATCAAACATTTGGTTTCTTCCGGAAGGCTGCTCGCTAGGAAGCAATTGTAGCATTTGTGTTTTGCAGCTTTGTGAAAATTGGCGAATCGGAAACTCATGGTCTGTAGCAGTAGAGGGAGAGTTTGCAAAGGGGATGTTTTGTTCAGCACAGAAATCAAGGGCCGTTTTCTCACGGATGACGTGGTAGCCGAGGCTCGGCTCAATTATCCCTTTCACACCACTGACCAAATCTACCCACATGTAGGCTGCGTTCTGTAGGCATTTCCCTTGGGAGGGAGGTGGGGGGACAAAGGGAAATGAAGAGGGTTCCTAAGCAGTTTCCCCTTCGAATCCCCACCCCCCCGCTACAACCGAAGGTGGGAAATTTCGGTTGCTCGGTGCGAAGCTTCTGAAGGTAAATGACGAAAAAACAGCTACAATTTCTACTGCACATAACATGGGTAGATAAGCTGCGCGACATCATAAAAAGGATTGCAGTTTAGAGAAGGGTAACCACGTAGAAAAAAAGCGCCCCCAAGCACACCCACCTGCAATACACAAACCTCGCTGTTTTTTTTTACCTGTTAGGGGGTGTTACATGTGCGGCGGAACTACTCTGGGTCGCGCTGGGCCGCTGCGGCCCAGGGGGATTTGCTCGGTCGGACCAGCGCGGAACAGCGTGGATCAGCTGTTTGGACCAGCAAACGGCCCAGGTGGTGACCCAGGTAGCTCCCCCAACGGACCAGCATGTACAGTGGTCGGTGCACGTGTAGGATTCGGGGGACCACCTCCAACAATCGACCCCAATTCGTGGCCCAGGCACTCGCGAAAACTCCACGTCGCCCCTTTTCGCTAGCACAAGCGATTCGGGCCGTCGCGAAATGTAGTTCGCGTGTGACTAGGTGCGACTTGGTTTCGTCCACCTTGCTTTTGCGAAATTGTAAACCACTATGCAATTTGCTGTTGGGGTCGGCTGCAAATGGTGCTCGGGACCACGCGGGTACCAGGCAGAGATCACTTTCGCAATTGGTCTCTATAAATTGGTACTCTCTTGTCTAAGCTGGTCCATTTCCCTGTAAATGGACCAGTGCACAATGTAAACCCCCTTAGTTTGCTGCGTCCCTGTTTGGGCTACTCGAGAGAGGGGTTGTTTGCTTCCTAGGGTTCAGGTGTGGTGTTCCCTAACCTAGCGCCTCCCTCCCCCCTCCGTCTCACATCCTGGGCAAGAGCAGTTTTCGAAAGGCGGGGCGAAGGAGGCAAATTTTGCCAGAGAAGGAAGGTGGGGAGGGGAAATAGGCAGCTTCCTATGACCTCATATCCGCGAGGGTAAATGGCTGTTCTGTTGCCATTTACCTTTGTTTAAGTTCGGAGGGTAATGGGAGGCTCGGATCCATTTTCCGGGCTGACCGTTCTTTTGAGCCAAAAAACGCAGCTGGGGGAAGGTTCCCATTACCGCCTCCCCCCCCTCTGTCGTGCCTGCAGAACACAGCCGATATTTCACCATCAAACAGAGGCCATCCGAGCCTGCTCGTGCCGAAGCAAATTACGTCTGGATGCTGCTGCTGATGCTGTTGCTCTCTAGGCTCCTCCGCATGTGATTCGGTCCTCTCCCCTCACATTAGCACCCGCCGCAACCACTTCGCTCCAGCCAGCCAAATCCCTTCCCTCCAAACCACCCCATACCACATCCCATCCCAATCTGCTTCGATGATTGTGATGCGAGGAATCTCAGAAAAGCTCATTCAATTCAAACCCTCCCACCAATTTTCCTGCCTCCGGCTGAGCTTCTGCTTTGATTGTCACTACTCCTAGAAACCCACGGTCAAAGAAGTGACAGATTCGCCCTTGGGAAATCTCTGCTGAGCAGCATTTTTCTCTGTACGTGTCAAGCTGCCTGCTTGCTAGTCACCGCCTAGATGTTTGTCTCTGGGCGTTTGGATGTGTCTTAGAAAGCTGTGACTTAGCGCGATGTAAGGCATTATTTCCGAATGGTCATTCTATTCTGCATTCGCAGTCCCTTGTATCTTACCTCATCACGAATTTTACGAGATCTGGCTAGATTCTTCATGGTAGATGTCTCATTCACTGGGGCTCGTTTAGCTTGTCGTTCACTATATTTACATTTGGGGCTCTAGATTGATTTGAAACGTGTGTTGCTGTCCTGACAAGGCCATTGATTTTACGAGATCTGATGGCTGGCCACTCGTAGCTATGATTTGAAACGTGTGTTGCTGTCTGCCCAGCACGAATCCTCGTGAGGCTTTCAGATCGAGTATTACCATGAGTCGTAATGCTTGGCCATGTGTCGAAACGATGTCCATTTTTCCTTGGTTACGAGATCTACCTTATCCCCATGGTTCTTTATTTTTTTTTCTGGGATGTCAACCACATTGAATTCGCAACCTTTGTTGTTCTGGTCTGCAGGCTTCACTTGCAGTCACATTGAGTGCAGCTAACAGCCTCAGCCATGGATGAAACCTACGATGTCATCGTGCTGGGAACCGGTTTGAAGGAATGTATTCTCAGTGGCCTTCTTTCCGTCAACAAGTATAAGGTAATCCTGTCTTTCACTTCTAACAAAGATGTTGAAATTTGAATGTAGTTATACTTCTGAAGGGCTTGTCCTGTTCGTTGTTCTCGTTTCTAATGGCAGGTGCTCCATATGGATCGCAATGACTACTATGGTGGCGAGTGTGCATCGTTGAACCTCAAACAGGTTCGTAAGGTTCCTGGCCGTGCTGAGCATGCGCTCAAATATATTAACCCCTCGTGTCTCTCTCGTTTTTGTTTTCGTTTGGATTATCTTTCTGAACAGCGTTTCCTTTGTTCGTGACATCTCTTTTCCCAACCGCACGTTATCTGCCGCACCAGTTGTTTGAAAAGTTCAGGCCAGGAGTGACTCCTCCTACCTCGCTTGGTCCGAGCCGAGACTACAATGTCGACATGACACCCAAGGTACTTTCTGAACATTGGTCGTCCTGTGTTTTATTCTTGTTTCGTTCATTCACTGTGTCGTATAGCCATTTATGTCCCAACGCGTTTCATTCTCTTCCTTTTTGTCCTCGTTCGTAAATCTCGTGCGTTCTCTCAGTTCATGATGGCGAACGGTCTGCTGGTTCGTGTGCTCATCCGTACCGACGTTACCAAGTATCTGCAGTTTAAGGCTGTCGATGGCAGCTATGTCTTCAAGCAAGGCAGAGTAAGGCGATATATTTTTTCTCGTACGCTGCGTGCTTGCTGTCTCGTGTGCGGTAGGAAATCCTTAACATTCCGTATTTTCCTGCATGCAGGTGTATAAGGTGCCTGCCACTGACGTGGAGGCTGTCTCCTCGCCGCTGCTGGGATTCTTTGAGAAGGGCCGCGCCCGCAAGTTCTTCATTTTCGTGCAGGAGTATGATCCAGCCAAGCCCAACACGCACCAGGGCATGGACCTCACCACGGCCACCTCCAAGACCGTTCTAGAGTAAGTGTTGATTTTTCGTACCTTCCATCTCCACCACCTTCCTCCATTTTTTAGCCTTGTCCTTTGTTTCGTTTGCTGCGCGTTGTGCTGAACCGTTTTGTTGGGCTTGCTGTGTGCAAATTGCAGGAAGTTCGGGCTGGACCAGAACAGCATCGATTTCATTGGCCATGCGCTGGCCCTTTACGAAGACGAGTCCTTCCTGGCGAAACCGGGCACGGAACTTATTGCGCGGTGCAAGGTATCACTTTTGACTGAGGTTGATGGCTCCCTCATTTTGCTCGTCTTTCCCCCTCCCCACCCTGTTGCAATTCTGCTCTCTTTTTCCCGCGCATCCTTTCCCACCCCGCCTATTTCTGCGCTACCTCCATTGTTAACTTTTTTCCTCACCTTGCGCACATCCCCGCCTGTGTCACAGCTCTATGCCGAGTCGCTTGCCCGGTTTGGCGGTACCTCCCCATACATCTACCCTCTTTATGGCCTCGGCGAGCTGCCTCAGGTTTGTACTGGCGTTTCTTGCTGTTGGGATGCGTATTCGCTTCTGATTGCCTGCTAATTCCATCTTGTGTTGCTATGGTTCAGGCGTTTGCTCGGCTCTCGGCCGTCTACGGAGGGACGTACATGCTTGCCAAGCCAGGCTGCAAGGTAACTGATTGTGTCTCCTTCGCCTCCCTCGGCCTCTCACCATCTGATTCCCATGTTTTCACAATTCTCATGGCCTACACATTCTTACGTTTTCTGCTGCTTTCAATCATTTGTTTCACTACATGGGCCATTTCTGTGGTCAGGTGGAGTACGATGAGAGTGGCAAGGCATGCGGTGTGACATCGGACGGGGAGACCGCCAAGACAGCTAAAGTTGTCTGCGACCCGTCTTACCTTCCCGATAAGGTATGTTTGTTTCCCTAAGAACAGCGCAAGCGGCATCCCTCTCTTTCGCAATGTACAGTTTTGGAAAATACAACTTTCAACGTCAAAGGAAATTACAGCACATATTAATACTGCACTGTTGCTGGAACCTCTTTTCCTGCCTGTGTACTGACCGTCCTTCAGGTCAAGGTTGTGGGCAAGGTGGTCCGTGCCATCGCCATTATGAGCCACCCGATTCCCAACACCTACGACTCACACTCGGTGCAAATCATCATTCCTCAGAAGCAGATCAACCGCAAGGCTGACATGTAAGCAAGGACCAACTGTATGCCTCGCCCTGAGCTGCTCAATTTCCCACAACTTACTTTCTGTATGCTTATGCATGTCCGCTCGTCCCTTCGCTGCCTAATGGTCCCTGCCTCTTCCTGTGTTTTTGCCTGGCTTTATGTATCCCCTTCTTGTTGCAGGTATGTCTTCTGTTGTTCCTACTCCCACTGCGTGGCAGCCAAAGGCAAATTCATTGCCTTCGTCTCCACCTCTGCTGAGACTGTAAGACCTACTTGACCAGCTTGAGTTCCATTTTCAGAGTCCAATCCGCACTTGGAGAACCATTGCAGCCCTTGGTAGTAGTTACGAAGTAGTTCGGTTCAATGCTCACTGGTTGTGGTCTCGTCATCTCGTTTCCTGTTATTTTCTTTGTCAGGACGACCCCAAGACAGAGTTGAAGCCTGGAGTGGACCTGCTGGGCGCTGTGGACGAGATCTTCTACGACAGTTATGATGTTTATGAGCCCACCAATGACTGCACTGCCGACAACTGCTTCATCTCCAAGGTATGCTGCGGTGCGAGGAACTTTCCCAGCTCTAAGTTCCACCGCTCCATTGATTCGGTATTAGTTGCTGTTGGAGCATTCTGCCTAGTGCAGAACGTTGCATTCTATAGCTGAGCTCATCTTTTGTCCACTCTTGGTGGCTCCTTGTTGCAGAGCTATGATCCCACGACCCACTTTGAGACAACAGTCAAGGATGTGCTGGCAATGTATGCCAAGATCACTGGAAAGGTCAGTTATGCCTGCCATTAAAGTGTATTACTTATCTCCTTTCCCCGCTTTACATTGGTCTACATATGGAGTCTTTATGTGAACCTGCCATTGGTCTGGCTTCCTAGCCCATTGTTATAGAGTTAGCATTTCTAATTTAATTCATTGCACACCCTCCCTCCCATCCCATCACTGTTTTCAGGAGCTTGACCTTAGCCACGAGGACCTGAATGCTGCATCGGCCACAGACGAGTAGATTTTTGTCTCTATGTGGTTTCAGCTTTGGTTCCTATATGCCGTTGCTGCTGTCGAGACTAGTTTTTCACTTTGAAGGTCAAGAAAACGTGACATGGTCTCATGGAGACTTCATTATTGTGGTTGTTAGTGCCCAAGCTTACCATGGCCAGTAGTAAACATCATGTCTTTGCTGAATATAGCTGCTTGTTGGATCAATCTTTTGCCCAAGTGGGTTGGGAATGGGTATCCGATTCAGCAGGGTCACTAGCATTTCCCGTCTGATCTTTTTCACAGCATCAAAAAGTTACTCCGGTACCTAACACCACAACAACTTTAGGCATATATTGTGAAAGTGTACTTAGGCTGACTTGCAAAGGCAGCGTTATCATTTCATGGCGAAGGCAGCGTTATCATTTCATATGGGTAGTAGTACATCGTTCTCGTCTTATATATGTCTACATGACAGCATACACAAATGGGTGGGCGGGTGGGAAATGAGAACTATAATTTTGAAAATGAAAACGTGGGTGGGGACGAATGTCCCCACGTCCCTCTTTTGTAGGCAAAAGAGGGTGAGTAGCGCTTCGGCGCTACCTTTGCTGTGTTGGCCACGTACCCCTTTTCACAATACAAAATTTTAGAAAGTGTTACATTTCATTACACTTTCAAAAATTATAATATTGTGAAAGTGTACTTAGGCTGACTTGCAAAGGCAGCGTTATCATTTCATATGGGTCTTCTGAGGCAAGTGCAGTCGAGGCTGGCGGTGCCGTTCGATTGATTGCTGATGCGTAGCGGGTGAGGGAGCCGTCGAAGGATCCTGCAGTTGCGTGGATAGGGAGATGAGCTGATCCTGCGCGATTGTAACGTACATCTCCTTCACGCTGTCGCTGCGCCATCGGCCCATGCGTTTGAAGAGCCGGTCAGGAAATCTGAGGCTTGCCGCCACAGTAGCTGCGCCTTTGCGGAATGAGTGAGTTCCGATGTGCGCGACATCCAGTCCAGCTTGCCTGCCGGCCGCGAGGCACCAGTTTCTGATCGTGACGTAGGATGGCGATTTGTCGTTAGGTGTGGCTGGCGAGTTTTTTGGGAAAACCCTTATCAGCGGTCCATGTGGCACCTTTGTGAGGCCTGCGAGGTGTATGAATTTGCGTGTGCACCTCACCGGGCAGTATGGGCCTGGAATTGCCGCCACTGGGATCCAGACACCCTTCCCTTCCTGGTCCGTCTTGGAGTGCGGGATGAGCAGCCACATTGCCTTCTCCTCGAACTGTACATCATTCCATTGGAGCGAGACGAGGTCGGAGTAGCGCAAGAATGCCGAAAACATGAGAAGAGGAATCAATTCTTTCTGGTATTCCGCAGGAATTGATGATTCGAGGAAGGGACGAGCCATGTTGTGCACTTGATGGAGAGATATGGGCTCTTTGGTCCTTGTAGGCTGGGGACCGTGTCTCTTGACGAACTCCCGCACTTGCAGGGTGAATGGGCCGGCGGTAGGGGAGGTTTCTCCTGTCATGCGGTGGGCGAAGGCAACTGCCGAACACGTGAGGTTGATCGCGGAGAGGGTTGCTTTGTTGTTGAGCGCATGGATGAGATACAGCGCTAGCGTCAGGTCGGTTGCTGGCAGGAACTCGAGCTTAACTTTGGTGCAGAAGGTGCGAAACCTCTGCCAATAAGGTTGGTACGTCTCGATTGTAGATGGTGCACGAACGTGGCTAATTACTTGCATCAATTGTTGCTGTAGTTTGGTCAAAAGTCCTGACATGACACATTGAGAAATTTTGATTAGACCGCATAGTTTACACGCAAAGCAATGATTGGGCTATGAGGCAATCCGAGACCAGAGAATGCAGCGGTGT